AATTGAAATCACCCCCCTCCCACTTTCTCAAGCTATGTGGCAGTGTTGAATAAGGTTTCCAAAGCTGACATAGCCAACATAGTCAACAGTAGAACAGATGCCTTTCAAGCAAAACACTTTTCTCTGAAAAGAGAAAATTTCTCTTTTCCTAACTGACAAAGCACTGTGTGATTTTTAGGATGACTTCTAATCACTGAATGCTCTCACATTACTTGCTTATCACACACCAATACTAGGGATCCTCAACCCCCTACTGGTTGGTCATGGTCTATTAAGAATTGGACCACGTGAGTGCATGGCTGGAGTGTGTGCACATGTGTGCATCAGCCCGCCCCTCATGTGGACCAGTTCCCCTCCCCCCATCCTAGCCTGGCTGCCAAGCCACAAAGGTTGGGGACCACTGCCGTATACTTTCTTGTGCCCTGTGAATGCCTTTTTATTCTCCTAAGCATTTAAAAATAATTTTAATATGTCACAAATTTGCCCTCTTTTACTGTTAAGATTATTTTTTTCTGCCTATGTGCGACTTTATGTTGTCACTTGTTTGTTTGTCAGATTGAATTGTCACCTTTCCTCCAGGAATTCAAAGCAACAAACAAACACGCACACAGCAATTTTCTCCACATTCCCCACATAGGTTATTTAGGCTGTTAAGTGATGTCTTAAGTTATCCAGTGAGCTTCATTGGTTTAGGAGAGAGTAGGCCTCCTAGTCCAAGACCACAACCACTAGACTATACTGGCTCTGCTGCTTCTGTTTGTTGTTATTGTTTCTTTTGTTTTGTTTTCAGTGATAGAGCTATTTATAGTTGGACTGTATTATTGTACTGATTTACACATCACCCAGACAACTGTTCTTATCAGAGTGTTTAAGAACGCAACACAATGTGCTAAATGCAGCCCAATGATAGTCTTGTTTGTGTTTCGTTTGATAAGCAATGCAGTGCATTGGAAAAATGGGACTCAAGGTTTTGTTAACATTAAAACAACATAGAGCTAATGTAATGTTCATTGCAGAAAAACAGAATCCTATGACAAATATATTGGGCAATAAGTCACTATTAATCCACTTTGAGGAAATCTTTACCCTGCATTAATAAAAACAGGAAATAATTCCAATTTCTGAAAGAAACTTAAATAAGTTTCCTTCTTGAAGTTTTAATTAAAGTCTAGAATTAATGCTAACAAACATTAGAGCTTGGTAAAAATCGAATTTCATAATAAAATAATTCCTAGAAAGCATTATTCAACATCTGAAATTGAAGAGTTAATTGAACTTAATTGAATTGAATTGCTAAGTAGTTACAGTCAGCCAAATAAGCTTAACATAGAGCCATCTGATGTTGGCAGGGTTAATATGAGGAATCTGCCAAAGGCACAGGCGCTCAGAAAGGCCCCTCATGAATTGTGCGAGCCCTTCTGCCATTAGGACCTTTCACCCAGGGCCAGATGGGATGCTACGGTCTCAGCTGCTCTTTGTTCTTACTCCTGGCAATCTCTCATTTCCTTGCAACCATTAGCAGGCTTATCTCAGAAGAATGGGGGAAAAGTACCTCTGCTGGAAACAAGTCTTTAAATTCATTCTTTGGCAGATACATATTTTGTTTTTCATTGGTTCTTGAATTATGGGGAATCTAGCACCATGGCTGGCCACAGAACAACAGAACCAAATATAGCATGATTTTCACAATACTACCAATGGTAACTAACATTACCGATATTAAGTAAATCACATCTGCAAAAAGCAAGGAGAACTTGAATGATTGATAATAGCAGCAATCAGTGTGCCACTGCCTGATGGGTAGGGAAATTGGCACCAAGGCAAATAGTCTTTTTTTTTTTAAGGTCAGGTTTGACTTCTGATGATTTAATGGACATGTAGTTTTTTGGAGAACCAATACAAAGTTAGATTTTCCATTGATATCCTCCATGATGTTTGGGAGGGGGTTCTTTTTCCCAGTAGGTTTAAGTTTTTCAAAGTAAAAAATAAAAAAATGAACAAAAAATGATGACGAAGAAAGAAAAAAGTAGAGGAGATAATAAAAAATAAGAAACAGTGCTGCAGTAAAATAAAAATGTATATAAAAAGAACAAAGATACAGAAAAAAGAATAGCTTATGACTCTATTTTCAGCAGATGAAAATGAAACAAGTTTCCCCAGCCCCCTGCTTGGCACTTTCAATAGGAGCAAGTAAGTGGATTGTGGAGATTTCTTTTGTGATCTGCCTATCATAAGGTCTAAATCCGCAGATGGCCTTTATGACTCTATCCAAATCTTATACTTAATTAGGATAGATATTTCAGGGATCCCAATTTAGATCACAGTTGAAATTTCTAAGTGGCTTGCTTGCCTGCTCCTGTGGCAGGAAGAATCCAGCTATAACTAAGCTTTTTTGCAGTTCATCTCAAAAATCCGGATCTACCAAGAAATATAAACCCTTCCTATTTATTTATTAAATTTATTTGCTGCCCATCTCAAAGTATTAGTGAAATTATAATATTCTGCTGTAAAGGCTATTTCTTCACATAGATGTACTAATACTGTTTTTCCTACATTTCAATTTTAGTGTATGCAGAATAGGTGGCAGCAGCTTTTTCCCATAAGCATGCTGAATTTTGTTTCTTTGAACTTTGTTTCCCGTACACACCTTGGACTGACTACCCAAAAGGAATGAAAGGAATCATAATCTTAGTTTTGCTCTTTATAAATATTTTTTTATCAAAATAGGAGATGGGTATCTAACACAGCACACTTTCCTAACCAGCCAAATGTCTGAAGCACCATGGCATCAAGGAATCCATCAGTTAAGTCCCCATGTTTCATTCTGTTCCACTGCCCACATGATTACTCAGGCTTAGTTACAAGACAGAACAGAATGAAAAGTATAACATGCCTTAACTTTATTGCAAAATTTGTAATATGAAGTAATTTAGCACTGAACTGAGGGAGGCAACCCTAAGAGAATAAAACGTAACTAACTTTAGGTTATTTAAGAAATAGTCGGGTTACTTAAATTGCACTTAACAGATAATCAGAGTTGGAAGAGACCTTGTAGGTCATCTAGTCCAACCCCCTGCCCAAGCGGGAGACCCTACACAATTTCTGACAAATGACAGTCCAATCTCTTCTTGAAAGTCTCACGTGATGGCACTCCCACAACTTCCGAGGGCAAGCTGTTCCATTGGTTGATTGTTCTCACTGTCAGAAATTTCTTCATGTTAACACTACCAAAACTCTAGAGCATCTGGGATGGTCCTGAGATGCTTGAATTTCAGTGTTCAACAACTCCATAGATTGCATAGATTATGCTATCTGCAGAACATAAAAGTAACAGTCTAATATATATGAAGGGAACCCATTGGCAAAGGTTGTTTTCTGCCTTTGGCCTTTATCAATGTTTGTCACAAAACTAATTAGGAATTTCTCCAGATTTCTGCCAGTTTTATCTCATAGCATTCCTGATTTGCAAACCAATTGAAAGAAAGCATTGTAACATAGTCTTGCAGTTTGGGAAGATGGGGAGGTAAAGAGCCATATTATTCATCACATTATACTGTGTAACAATAAGTGTTTTATAATCCTAATATAATTATGTCCTATATGAAACTCTTTAGGAGAAAAAAAATAACTGGAACTAAATAAACTGGATTTTACTTTCTTACAAAGACCAGACCCAATTATGGACCCTTATGAGAATGGAAGTGCTTTCTTAGCCCAATTTCACTAGCAGCTATCACTTTAGAAGAAATCCAGCTTTGAGAAATGTCTTGGCATGAAACTTAAAGTCAAACTTCAGAAAGTCATATATAAGATCTCTTTGTGTATTCTTTATGATTATGCATAATTACTTTGTGAATTGCATATCTCAAAGTTCCCAAAAGAACATTTGTAACTATTAAAGAATTAGACTAGAACTGAGATCTGAGACAACTCCACTGTCAATCATGGAAATCACTGGCTGACTTTGGGCCAGTCACTCTCTCCCAGCCTTACCTGCCTCACAGGGAGACAGACGTTCTATGTACCGGTATATTGTTTTGAGTTCTGGATGAAAGGCAGGATAAACATTTAAAAACAAATATATAAATAAGATAAAATCTACTTTTGCTAAACAATTCCCATGCACAAGCAAAACCCAGGTTTTCAATGGAATTCAAAATCCAAATATAACCACTTATATTTTTAACCATAATGATGGTGTTATTAAACACAAATCATACCCAATAAAGGTTAAATCAATCAATGGCAAAACATTAACAGTTGTAATGAATAAGCTGTTGGTTACCAAAATTCCTGCACTACAGCATTCTTTTCACCACTTCAATGAAAAGGATGTCTCCTTTTGTTTATATAACAAGAACATGTTATTACATAACAGTTTTAAATTAGAAAAAAATGTTCATCTGCTAGTAATCAAAGTGAAAACTTCATATTGGTGCCACATTAATCTTGTTAGCAAACTTTGAATTATCAACAGTTGCTGACAAGCATAATTCATGAACTGAATTAGATGTACCAAGGAAACAACTTTTTTAACAAATCTGGTTGCTTTGTAATGTTCCTACCTCATTGGCTTTTTTATATATTAACAGTAATAGGATACAAACCACTTTATAATATTCTGTTTAATTTCTGGTGCCTAATTTAATTTTACAATTTAAATTTAATTTCCGTTGTACTAGTTGTCTTTGATCTTTATGCTGGTAATATATACAAAATAATAAGAATCAGAATACATGAGAAAAGAATAAGCAAAGTAAAAGAGTGATACAGCAACAAAGATATAGTAGAACCAAGGAGGCACAGCTTCAAGTCCACCCCCAATCATGGATAATTTTGGTACAGATTTTATGTACTACCTCACAATTTTATTGTGATGGGAGAAAATGGGAGGAAGGAGTGTTGCATATTCAACTTCAAGCTGTTGGATAAAAGGCAGGATATAATTCTAATTTCATATGCTATAAAATTAATTAATTAATTAAATAAGAATTACTTACCATCTTCTGTACTATTCCCAACAATATTCCAGGAAGATGGAATCTCTTCACAGGCCATGGCTAGCATAACATCATGATCCATTGACTGCAAATCTCTCTCGATCAAATCAAACTGACTGAGAAGGGTGTGATGACTGGAGGGAGTGAGACAGTTGGCCTGACTCACCAAGAAACAGGCTAATTCACAAGCAATGTCATGCTTGAAGGTAATACATGAGGAACCCAGAATCACAAATTCACTTTCCTTTCCATACATAACCACAAAAACAGAAACATCTTCTTGTTCTCTATGAGCTGAAAAAGTATAATAATTAAGTGTTATATAGTCAATACATGCCTCTACAAAAATATATTTTATTGCCATTTCTTAAAGTATGAGAAACTGGAATTAAAGTCAGATTCCATTCTCATATACTATATGTGCAGGGGGGAAATAAACAACTGATAGTATTCACCATGTACTACATACACATGTATACACTTAACTGAAAATACAGTATATTGACCATGCATAGAAATATTAGAAATAACAGAAAGATTGATATATTTTTCAATTTTCAGTTGCCTTATTTACATTGCTCCTTTTTATTCGGTGCAATTTATACCGTCCACTTGTACTGGGATGCAAGTGTTACTAATATCCAGCCAGAACACCAACTAGTCCAGGCAGAAAAACATGCCAGAAGAATTCCTAGCCACATTATGTTGGCTGGGAATTCTGGAATTTATGGTTAAAACACACATAGAGTTGCCCCATCAGCGAAGATGGTGTTTATTAATATAAACAAAAAGGTTTGCATTACGTGAGCTTTAAAGTTGATCACCCAACATGACACAGCAAGACTGACTGGCCATGCAAATAGTACTATAATTACTTCTGCATTCATCAATATTTGATTCTAGCCTGTCAAGGGTAGAGGATTCTCCCAATATCTACTTGATTACAGGTAGTCCTCACTTAACAACTGTTCAAAGTTACCTCAAAAAGCTACTTTTGTCCTGCCCTCAAAGATATGACTGTTGCACCCCTCCTCAGTGTGATCACATGATTGCATTTCAAATGCTTTGGCAATCAGTTCACCTTTATGACCAGTTACAATATTACGCAGTCATGGAACAATTCTCAATTTTTTTGCCAGTTTCCAGCATTTTTACTAGTTTCTTGCAAAGAACGCCCATTCAGAGGAGTGGATTTGCTTAATGGTTTACTTAACAGTCACATGACTCATGTAATGTTGTATAATCAGTTGTGAAATAGAATCAGGTCATGGCAACTCGTTTAGTGACCACAACAACCTATGACCAAAATTTTTGGTCCAGTTGCAGTTGCTAAGGCATGATAATGGTGCTGAAAGGACAGCATTTAAAAATGGGAAGGGAAAGCAACTTATCAAGGCACCTGATAACTGCAGAATCCAGATCGGTCTACAATCTGAAGAAGATAAAAAATAGCTTGGATATTGCATGAGAACAAGATAGGGATTGCCTATGTCTATCTAACCATAGTTAACAAATAGTTAACAAAAAGCTGTAAAAACTAGCAAAGTCATGCTTTTATAAGGCTTTAGATTGGAATGTATATTGTAAATAAAAGGTTTTCATTCCTGATTCTTTAAACTAATAAATAATGCTTGGACTTCAAGAAGGAGAAATTAAGCAATGTGGAAAATGCAGTGTCTCCTAAGAAAAGGTTAGACTCAACCACCACTGGTTGCTATGCTTAGTCAGTTATCTGGAAACAGACTTTACGTCTTAGCCCAGCAACTGTACACAAGAGACAAAAACTCTCTTCCTGTTGTTTGGATTCCATTGTGATAACAATTAAATAATCAAAATTCAATAATTAATAGCCCTTCCAACACAGTTTAAAATGCTGCAATAAGAAGACAAATGGACAATGTAGCAGAGCTACATCACTCACCTGGAATGATAGATTCAAGAGTGTTTTCAGTAACTTGCTTGGCAAAAACCACATGTTTCTGTATTGATCCTTTGTAAACAAAGTAAAATTCAGCCTCCTCTAGAAGAACGTTGTCAAACTTTCCATATATAATGGTTTGCCCCTAGAAAGTGGACATATTTTTAATGCTATGTCACATAAGAGAAACATTTCTAATTACAGAGAGCTGGCAATGTAGACTGGGCATATTCTACAAAATTTAACATGGTTAAAGTTTTTACACTGTATTCAGTGAGGTGGAAAATGTTTACTTGTAGATGGGTTGTAATAAACGTTTTTCAGTTCAAAGCGGGATTTACAAAACTATAAACAAATCACACTTTTTCTGAGCAACTGAAATTAACAAACCAAAAACAACCCCATTATATAACTCTAAAGGGAGTTTTCAAAAGAATGAAATATACAAGAGAGCAATAACAAAAAATCAGATCTGTTTTGGCGAGGAAGTGTAGATGGAGCTGTGTTTCCCTAAAATAAGAATTGCATACTTGTTGCTACTGTTGTTTTTAATAATGTAGTTTTAACAATAGTCAATAAAATTGTCCTCATCTGACAGTAGCAACTTGTTAACAAGTAAAATAACAAAAACAAATACTTTAAAATATCTTTTTTAACACAGAGGCCTTCAAAAGTCTTTACTCCTCAGAGAAAACTATTTGGAGCAAAATGCCACAATGGACAGAGCCAGATATTCTCTCGTCTTCACTAAAATCCCCTCAATAACAGTATATATTTTCTTACTCACACATTTAAGAATACTAAGAGAAAATGTATTGAATTCAGGTTCAGCTATGACTGAATTCATACAATTTACTAAGGCAAAACCAAACTAATAACTTTTGATGGTGTAAACCTTAATGGCTGGCATCAATGAAGCAGGGATGAGCTCTGGGCTGGATGTCGGTGGCCTCCTTTTCTTTTGTTTTAAAACAAGAAAACTAGACCACTGCTACCCAGTCTCATCACTGCTTCAAATAACATCTGGACTTACAGTGTGAAAACATGCATGCATGTATATGTATGTAACCAAAGGATATGTATGAATCAGTGGGCATGCATTAAGAGATTCCATCACACGCTAACATACATATATACATACATACATATCATTTGATATGGTTTGAAAAGCAGAGCCACCAACAACTCTCTGGAGCACCTAAAATTAGAGTGTGTGCCATATATTCCTACTATTTTTTTAAATGTAAATTAATTTAAACAGGACTTGAGGATTGTTTGTTGAAGTAAAGAGAAAATATAGCATTTAAACATTAAGTAAACACCAAGTAGAATGTATCTTTTTATGTATAAATTACTAAGTTCAGAGTATACACAAAAACAAATCTCCAGAGTCCCCCATCTCCAGATAACTATACAAGAGTACCAACATTATATTGTTTTTCTAATCTCTGCAAGTGCCAATCAATCAAATGTAGGCAGGACTCCTTCTGGTCGTGTCATCCCAGGTTTTCTTTAATTAAAACATTATTGAAGAGTACAGCCACAGTTTTTTGGACTATGATGGACAATGGATAAGTCTGACAAATGGATATGATGGACAATGGATAAGTCTGACACCTTGGCATCAAAGCATAAGGCTCCATCATTCTACAGGCAACACCCAGGGCTAGCTTTACTTTTGATGCAAACTTGGTCTTGCTTATTTGCTATCTGGGTGTGATGGGCAAACAGGATACAAAAGAACTAACTGATAATGAGTCAGATGAAACTTAGGAAATGATGACTGGCAAACATTATGAACAGGAATTATTATCACCAACAGGTTACTCTGAGCTTGTCAATCAGAAGGTTGGCAGTTCAGTGGTTCGAATCCCTAGTGCCGTGTAACGGAATGAGCTTCTGTTACTTGTCCTAGCTTCTGCCAACCTAGCAGCTCGAAAACACGTAAAAAATGAAAATAGAAAAAAATAGGGACCACTTTGGTGGGAAGGTAACAGTGCTCTGTGCGCCTTCAGTGTTTAGTCATGTCAGCTACATGACCATGGAGACGTCTTCAGACAGCGCTGGCTCTTCGGCTTAGAAATGGATGAGCACCACCCCCTAAAGCCAGAAATGACTAGCATGCAGAGGAACCTTTACCTTTACCTAAGCTCTGATCCCATTTTTCTTTGAAAATATATTATATTACTAGTAAAACAAACGTATAGCTGACAATATAATTTCATCAAATGAAACCAAAGTTCATTTACAGAAAAGATATTTCCAAATGTGCATTTTCCAGGAAAAAAACATTTTTCAATGAGGTTTATATTACCCATTTTAACCAAGTTGAAATTCTAACTATTCCAAATAAAATTCAGGATAGTAATTTCTATGCAGGGTTCTTTAAAACATCCAGAATGATTTTTTTTTTGCACTGAGCATGTATAAACTGGACACAGCATGCAAATTTAGGAGAGGAGAATCACTACTTCACACACACACACCCCAAAAAAATACAAGTGTCTAAAGTGTTTTTGATGAAATGTAACATGTCTATAAGTTTTCACTTAAGAAAATGAAAACTAAATCAACTGAACAGAGTATTACCAGATGATCATTCTTTACAACAGAAAACTAAAACTAGAGACTTAACTACTATAAAAGGTAAGTGAAGAGTGAGCAATTAATGGACTTAGAACATTTCCAAGGTACAGACTCTTGCAAGAACTCAATATATTTACTAAATACACTCAAATAAAAACCCAAATATACAATAAATTTCCATTATTATTATTATGGTTAGTCCCAGAAGTCAGATGTTTAAACTGGATTTGGCATTTGTATCAACCTACTGAGTCCTTCCAAAGGACCTAAATAGGCAGATGTTGATGTTTCGTTGTATTAAAGGTATTACCACAGAATGTAACAGGTGTGGCATTCAAATTTCTTAACAACCGGTTCTGTGGGCATGGCCTAATTTGTGGGTTTGGCTTGGTGGTCATGTGACTGGGTGGGCATGGCTTGCTGACTGGGCATGGCTTGGTGGTCATGTGACTGGCTGGGCATGGCTTGTATGTAAATATTATAAATATTTATGTAAATATTGGAATTTTTTATTTTAAAAAAGAGCAACTTTTACCCAAAATCAGGCAAAGCAGGCGGGCAGATTGAGTTGCTTGCAGAATCACAGATTCACTCAGAGATCTATCTTTCTGCAATCTGCTACCTGAGTCTGCACTGAAAAATAGAAGCTTCAGTCCTAAGGAAGGTTCAGCTCTGCTTTGAGATTAGTTAGAAAGCAAGAAATCCAACGCAAGTGTGCATGCCAGGTAAGGAATGAGTGGGCGGGGAGGGGAAGGGCCAGTCAGTGACGTGGTTTGCCAGTTCTCCGAACTGCGCAGAATCGTAACAACCAGTTCTATAGAACCAGTCTGACCAGGTAGAAGCCCACCCCTGGGATGTAAACTGTTCTGAGTAAAGGTGCTTTTTGCAATTAATTGATGGTGATTTTGTCCATGCCAATGGTGTATAATTGATGTTTCAGTAGTTTTGAGATTGCACCAAGGCACCTATTACTATTGGTACTACCTTTGCTTTCTTTTGCCACAGTTATTCCATTTCTATTTGCAGATCTTTGTACTTGTTATCTTTTCCAGTTCTTTCTCTTCCATTATGCTGGATTACAATGTCCAGATTTTTTTTGTCTTTATTATCAACAATGTTTAGTCTGGGGCATTATGTGACAGGTATCTGTCTGTTTGAAAACTGAAGTCCTGGAGCATATTAACTTTTTCATTTTCTATTATTTTTTTCTTTTTTATGATCCCATCAGTTCTTCCTCATATGCAAATGATATTTCTTATAAATCTTTCAATGCACCACTATTGCTATATCATGCCACTGCTTGTAGTCAGCTTGAATAATCTTGCCGTAACTAACATGATGGTCTACTGTTTCCTCAGTTTCTTTGCAGAGACAGCATTTGTTGTCTGTTGCTGTTTCCTCAATTCTGGCTTTGTATGCATTTGTTCTTAAGTCTTGTTCAGCTAGAATTAGCTCCTGCGTCTCTTTCTTCAGCTTTCCTGCTCTTAGCCATTGCCAAGTCTGGTTGTTACCTGTTCTGCCTGCTAATTTTGTGAGGCAAACCTACTTAATAAATGATTCACTTAGGAACAGAAATTTTGGGCTCAATTGTGGTTGTAAATCAAGGAATACTTGTATTGATATTAGGCTAATTGGTCTGTAGTTTCCTGGGTCTGTTTTTATTTTTTTCCTTTTTTGAAGATAGGAACCACATCAGCTCTTTTCCAATCCTCAGGGAATTTCCTGGTGTTCCTGGATTTTTGAAAGGTATGGTACAATGGTTCTGAGATAACATCTGTCCGCTCCTTCAGAACTCTGAGATGTAAACCATCAGGTTCCGGTGATTTATATTCATCAAGATCAGACAGGTGCTATTAACAATTTTCTTGTTTTTTTTAATTTTTATTTCTAGAAATCTGCAAGAAGTGTTTAACGCGTCTGTACCACTATGATGGCAAAATGACTGTTAAATTTGGTGGGTTGCTAATCTAAGCTAAGTAGTGCTCTGATTATTACTTAACCTACTATTCACATCAATTTGGGCCATTTGTCTCCTGCAAAATGAGTAAAACTCCCAACACTTCAAAATATTTTTGCAATAAAACTAAGGTTAACCATATTAGAAATCAAGAGACAAAAATTATTTTGGCTTAATTAGTTTCACATTACAGACATTATAGCAGTACACTCAAATATGTGGGTTTCTTACATCCAAATAATAATCAAGATCTTAGTAATTACAATTGCATGTTTTTCTGTTCCTGGCTGGAAGGTGAAAATTAATTCAATCTGTGTAAATCTGACACACCCTTGCACCTGGATCTACTTTCTTCCACATCTTTGATTTCTTCATCCCTATGCTTATACTTAAGAGAAAAGCTTTTGAGGCTTAGGTGTGCATACAGATACTACTACTTTATAAAAATGAAGTGCAGGTGTAAACATGAGCTACAATCCCAAGAACAGAGAATTATTTCCAATATCCCAAAGATTTTTTAGTGGACATTCTTAGTAAATAATCCCATCTATTAAATGCAAGCTACATTTAAAACTGGGGTAGAGATCATTTTTAAAAACTAT